TTGGGTTCGAATATCCTTGCGGAGAGCGATCAGCTTGGATCGGTTTTAAGTACGAGAGGGTTATGGATTTGTGCTATTTCTGCGGCCGACTGGGGCATGTGCTGCAAAACTGCTTATTCAGGGAAGAGAGTCGAAGGAAAGGTTTGAGCATCGAGCCCTCGGAGGTGTACACGGCGGCACTGAAAGCTGGGCATGATTCGCCGGCGAACACGCCGCCGATTTCATTCCGCCGCCGCCATGCGGCCCAGGTGGAAGAAAGCCTGAGAAGAGAGAAGGAGCTCATATTACGAGGAAGGAGGGAAAAGTCAGCCCAGCTGACACTGTCCCCCGCTGACACCAGATTGGAGATCAGCCACCCACCTGGATTCGGCTACCTGCAGAGAGAGGCGACATCCAGTAACATCAGGGAACAGGAAGGGAGACAAGGGTACGGTGAAGCAGAGAAGGAGTCAGGAGGATCAACTAGAAGGCTGGAGATTGATCTCGAGGCTACCACCGAGGCAATCCAGTCGTCTCTGGTGCTCAATGAAGGAGGAACAAGATGGAGGGAAAGAGAAGTGGGCCTAAGACCAGATGAGGACAGACAGGGCCTGATGGAAATGGGCCTCCAGCTCAGCTTAGCAGTGCCAAGGACCGATGAAGAAAGGAGGGTTCAGGAAGGAGAAAGGAAAAAGGAGCCCAGCCCAGTTACACCACCAGTGAAGGGAGCCATTGGGACAATTATTCAAGAGGCCCAGTACGCGGTCCAGCTGATCAGGGGGGAGCCAATCTCGGCGACCCATGGAAGCCCTATGAAGAAAAGAAATGCCGACCAAGCTCAGGGAGGAGGAGAGCTCTCACCAGAGCAGTCCAATTTTTCTAACTTTAGTGTCGATTGTGGTGTTTTTAACCCAGGTCCAGAAGATCAAGGAAAGGGAAGAAGAAGACAAGTGTATCGAAGAAGAAGCATCGCGGCAATAACAGCAGGGGAGAAACATTCCGAAGGGGATCATGATCCAACCTCGAGGGCAGCGGCGGCAAGCCTGGAGCCGCCTCCAGAAAAATGAGGCTGATCAGTTGGAACTGTCGAGGATTTGGCCAGTCCTCAACAAGGAGTTTCTGCAAGAACCTATGTCGTAGGTTTCGGCCATCAATCTTCTTCCTCATGGAAACAAAACAAGAGGAGGAATTCATGGAAGGGAAGAGGAGAAGATTGAAGTTTTCAAACTCGGAATATTTTAACCCTAGTCAAGGAGGTAGTGGATTAGCATTATGGTGGGATGAGAATGTATCGATCAGGGTGATTGATAGGTCTAGATTCTACCTGGATGTATGTATTAGTTGGAGTAGTAATGTGTGCTACTGTACTTTTGTGCATGCTCCCACCACAACGGTGGAGAGAAGAGCTTTTTTGGAGAAACTCACCTCTCTGAGGGATAGGGGGGATGAGGAATGGTTGCTAGTTGGGGATTTTAATGCTGTATTGGCTGATTTTGAGAAGCAGGGGAGATGCCCCATTAGAAATGAAAATCGTGCTCCGTTTAAGTATTTTGTGGATCAGAATGGCCTTATTGACCTAGGTTTCAACGGTTCTATCTTTACTTGGAAGAATATGCAAAGAGGGTTAGATGGGATTAGGGAGAGACTTGATCGAGCTCTCTGTTCCCCTTCGTGGAGCCTTAAATTTGACAGAGCAAAGGTTTTTCACGAGATCTTTGTAGAATCTGACCATTGTCCCATTCGAGTGGACTTTGACATGTTGGAATCAAAAAGGGCAATCCCATTCCGATTTGACAAACGGTGGAGGTTTGAGGAAGAGTGCATTAACATTGTTAAAGAATGTTGGAACAAGGACTCTGATGTCAGCAACACCCTGAATAGTTGGAAGGATTGAGGAAGAGTGCATTAACGGTGGAGGTTTGAGGAAGAGTGCATTAACGGTGGAGGTTCTATCATAACCTTTTCAAGGCTAGAGATATCAGTACTCTCAGTTTTGATTTGGAAGGATTCCCACATCTGGTTTCTGATGATATGAATTCCGACCTGGGAAAGGAAGTGTCTAATGCGGAGATTAAAGAAGCGGTTTTTGCCCTGGGTGCCAGCAAAGCCCCAGGGCCTGATGGCTTTCCAGGTCATTTCTTTCGGCGATTCTGGAATTTTTGTGAGCCCAAATTCTGTGAGGAAATTCGGTCTTTCTTCAGGACATCAAAAATCCCTGCAGGATGGAATGATACTTTCGTTACAATCATCCCAAAGGTTGATGCTCCGGAAGAGTTGGGCCAATTCAGACCAATCAGCTTCTGTAATTTCAGGTATAAAGTTATAACAAAGATTCTGGCTTCCAGAATCCAGAAATGGCTGCCTGAGCTAATCAATGAAGTTCAATCTGCATTCACAGGGGGAAGGCAGATCCAGGACAATATTGTGATTGTCCATGAAGTTCTGAATCACTTCAAGAAACATAAAACTGGCCGCAAAAGAGATATGATGCTCAAACTCGACATGAAGAAAGCTTATGACTTAGTTGAATGGCAATGCCTTTTACAGCTTCTAAAGGTTTATGGGTTCTCGGATCTATGGTGCAGTTGGATCGAGGAATGCATTTCAACAGTCAAGTTCCAGGTTCTATTCAATGGATCCCCATCACAGAGCTTTATGCCTTCTAGAGGGATTCGACAAGGGGATCCCCTATCCCCATTACTCTTCATTCTAATGACAAATGCTTTATCATTCCTGGTGGAGAAGTCGATTGAGACTGGAAGTATAAAAGGACTAAAACTGAACCAGTATTGTCCTCGTCTCACCCACTGCCTCTTTGCGGATGATACGGTCCTCTTTGGAGAAGCATCTGTTGGGGAAGCTACAAGATTGAATGCTATTGTGAAAGAGTATGGAGCGGTCACAGGACAAGAGATCAACCCATCCAAGTCTTCGGTGTTTTTCAGCCTTAATGTAATAGAAGAGGAAAAACAGGAGATCAGGGAAGCACTGGGATTTGAGGAAGGGGTGAGCCATGATAAGTACCTGGAAATTCAGACCACGTGGGGGAGATCGAAAAAAGAAATGTTCCATTTTCTGATAGAGAGAATGGAAAAGAAAGGAGAACATTGGCAGAGCCTCCTCCTCTCGGCTGGTGGAAAGGAGGTCCTTTTGAAATCAGTATTCCAAGCAATCCCGACGTATTTGATGACCATCTTCCTGTTCCCACAAGCTACGACTAATAAAATGGATGGAATGCTCAGAAGGTTTTTCTAGTCGGGTTCAACGACGAAGAAAACAATTCACTGGAGAGCGGGGAATGTTCTTTATGCCCCTAAGGAGGAGGGAGGGTTGGGTTTTAGGCCCTTCTCGGTTGTTAACCTAGCCCTACTCACAAAACAAGCTTGGAGGGTGTTATGCACGCCAGAAGCTCTCTGGGTTAGAGTTCTGAAAGGCCTCTATTTCCCAAGAGGGGATTTCTTGAGGGCTAAGAAAGGATGTCGGCCTTCTTGGATATGGAGCAGCTTATGCGAAACTAGGAAATGGCTCATGAAGGGGATTGTGAAGGTTATTGGGAACGGGAGGGGAACAGATTTCCACTTGGACCCTTGGTTCCCCTCCTCCCCTGGATTTACAATCAATAACCAGAACCAGGATAGAAGAAGAGTTGAGGAGTTTATAACTCAGGAGGACCGGGCTTGGAACCTATCAGGGTTGGAGGGGAGTATCTCAGAAGAGATACAGCAAGCCATTTTCAGGATTCCAATTGGCTCACAGGGCATGGAAGACTTCTGGGCTTGGAGATTCACAGCGAGTGGTGAATTCTCGGTTAAGTCTGCGTATCGGGCTTTCCATGATTCTATCCGAGGGGGAGCATCTGTTAGGACAGGAACCTCCCAATGGGAGAAGGAAAGATGGAAATGGCTGTGGAGCTTGAATCTGCCCCCAAAGATCACCTTCTTCATCTGGAAAGCATCAAGAGGAGCTCTGGCCACCAAGAAAAACCTGTTTGAAAGACACTGTGCAGGATCTAAGGCTTGCCCGTTGTGTAGGGCGGACGAGGAATCCATTTTCCATGTCCTTTTTGAATGCCCACATGCGAAGGAAACATGGACACGCTTTGCCCCATCTCTCCCCCTACCACCACCCTCGACAAGAGTTAACTTCTGGTTGTGGGAAGTTGGGGAAGCCTGGCCACAAGAGGGCCCTCAGACAGCTATCTTTATTCTGTGGAATATTTGGAAGGCCAGGAATGAGATGATCTTTAGGAATAGAGCACCATGGCCACCACGCACCATCTCGCAAGCTACGAATGATTTCCTCTTCTGGAAGAACTGCCCAAAGATTAGAAGAGAAGATAATGGTGTGCCACGTCGGCCTAATCCACCTCTTTCCCACCCTACACCACCGCCAAGCAATCACCGAGAGGAGATTCACTGTGATGGAACGTATTTTGACGATTCCCAGGAGGCGGCATATGGGTTTGTTGTTCTTAATACCCATGGTGAGGTTTACGAAGGAAGGGCCGACTCCCTGCTCTGCGAGTCAGCTTTGGAAGCAGAAGCGGTAGCTGTGCACGAAGGATGCAAGTTTGCCCTGTCTCTCCCCCAGACATGTACTATCAAATCGGACTGCAAGGTGCTGGTGGATGCGATTGAAGGGCCGAGACACAAATGGCCATGGATCATTGCAGCAAGAATTGATGCCATTTGTGAGAGTCTCCGCAGCTTAAATGGAGTTAAGGTGATGTTTGTCAAAAGGGATTCTAATGTTTTGGCCAATTGGGTGGCCCGATCAAGGGCAAAAAACCAACTCCCGGGAGACTGGATTGCAGTCCTCAATATCTTACTACCAATCCTGTAACCAAACTCTGATTAATGGGAATGCAGAGACTTATTGTCAACAAAAAAAAAACTATTTGCTCCATCACCTGTTTACTCCTATGTATTATCACTTGACCTAATCCAAGCCCCAGAAACTCGCAACCTTCCCGTAGTTCCCACTGAAAAATAAAAACAAACAAACAACATTTCCTGCCGATCTTTCCGAGCAAAAACGATGCTATACATAAACATAATAGTATAGCAGAGGCCGTCCGTCGTCTCCAGCTTTTTAGCCTCTTTACACATATTCTTACACAAAGACAGGAAAAGTGACTTAAATCCCGAGAAGGGATTTATTCATTCATTACAGCCAATACACCCACAAAACAGAAACTTAACAGCTAGCTGACTGACTACGACAGAGAGTGTGTAACAATGGTACAAGCAAAAAGCTGCAAACTTAACCATCAAACGGGAAGGTGTATATTAAGAACAAAGATGAGCGGCAGAATGTAGTTGTTTCTTTTCCCCGCTAATTGAGTTGGGCCAGGGGCGGGCGTGGGATAAGAGAAGGTTTGAGTTCCTTCACCTCAAACGAGTCGTATGAGTTGTTCTCTCGGAATTCCTCCACCAATGCTTCCATCGGCATTGCTCTTAGCGATTCGATTGTCCCCTTGCTCGGAACCTCCGGCTCCGTCCTCATCGGAGTCGTCCCCGTTGGATCGTAGTCCTGCATCAACACAGCGAATGAATGAATCACGGTTTACAATTGGCGAACAAAGGGTTGATCCAGGGAGGTCACATGGGATTTGGTTCGGACAAAAGTAAGTACCATAAAGCGCTGCTGGAAGGTTTCTTGTGATTTGTTCTCCATGACCGCAGCTTGACCAGAGTGATCTTCCCGGAAAGTCTCCAGTGTTTTCGTGTGTGCTTCAACCGTTGTCACTATGCCTGAAACTGATTCACGTTCTTGCGCTGACATACCTGCAGCGTGCAACGAACAAAGAACATAAAGTCTCTTTTCTTCATCAAATTGTGGATAATGCAGGTGATGCTGCTTATGGAATGAGAACGTATAAGACGGGATCACAAACACTGACCATCTATGTGCTGAAGAATGTCTTGGCTATTCGTTGCTACATCTTGCTCAGCTGCTGTCCTTGCTGAATCAATCTCAGCATCATGTTGCTCGATGTTTTCAGTTGCATCTCTACAACATGAAACAGCAATTGTGAGAAATTCAGGGGGACTGCGGAGTTCTACATAATGATGATTGATGGGAGCCTAAATGGAGCAGAGTGCTTATTACCTGACGAGGGTACACAAAGACGAGACATGCTCGGTGCACATTTCGTTCACAGAGTCACGAGTCTTTTTGCAGTGCTGGAAAGCTGATTCGGCATTGGTCACGCTACAGGGTCGCCAAATGCTAAGCATCAAAACAGTGGGGAAAGAAATAGAGTGGGTACACAAAGAAGAAGACGCTAGTACCTTTGTTGGAGGAGTATCTCCATGCGACAATGTTTTGCAGCAGAATAATCTGCACCATCCTTGGCTTCACTTCCAGCTTGGACGCAAAACTCTTTCCATTTTCGTTTCGCTTCAGTGGTAATATTCTCCAATGAGGAGACTTGGCCATCCATAAATGTCCGGTTTTCAACAGCAGCTTCTCTGAGAACATCAAGCCTTGTATTCACCAGCTCCTTTTGACGGAGAATGTGATTAGAAAGAAGATTGCTGATATCGGCAACAAGCTTATCCGCTTCAGATTTACATTGTTCCTGCAGAACAAAGAATGCATGGGGATGATGTTCATAGAGAAGTAAAACATAAATCAACCACTAACTTGCTATTCAGTCGTACCTCATAAGCTTTCTGGAAATCAGCAATGCTGTTCATTTGGATGTTGTCAACTCCCATCACGTGATTTTGGATAGTTTGGGATTGGTCCATCAGTTTGCAAAGGAATCCATCTGTGTAATCTGAAATCTGCTTTGTTTGCTCACTACTTGAGTTGAACCTCTGTCATCCAAGTCAAATGAATATCCAAGCAATCAAACCCCAAGTCCGGATAGAAATCTCTATGTACACAAGTGATAAATTGTTTGTCACTCGCATGGAAAAAAAAGGATCAGAACCTGGCGTAGCTCCCTTGCGAAAATGGCCATTTCACCCTGGTGAGCTGAGAGAGCGTTCCGGAGGTCATCAAATACTGCAGCTGCTTGGACACCTTCTGAAGCTAGATACTGAATCAAAATGAGACAATTACAACCCAAACCTGAAATATGAAAAGACAACTAGAACTGAAGTAAAGGTTAAAGGGAAAAGACTCTTACATCTTCAATAGACTGTGCATTGGAGGAAGCCAAAGTTGACATCTCATCCAGGCCAGCAATAGAATTCGACTTGTGCAGACGAACCACATTTTGCAACGCTTCAATGTGGGACGCGTATACTGTCCTCGTGTTTGTCAATTTCTTCTTCATTTTCTTGACCGCCTACACAGACCAAGTATTAGACAAAATTATAGATGAATCATTAAATATTTTCTCATATGTCCTGTCAGTACCTTGTCATGGGTCTGCATAAAAGAATGACAGAGTTTGCCAACACACTGCAGATGCTCATCCTGCTGCGACATAGAGTTAGCAACTATGCTACGAAGACAACCAATCTGCTGAGAGAGCTCGGACTGGAAACTGTTGACTACTGATCTATTCTCAGAATGCAGTTGGTCTTCCCTACCTGTACATAGACTACATTAGTGAGCATCTTTGAGGACATCAGAAAAGTAGCTATTCTTGAAAGTCATGAGCTGCCTACCAATCTTGTCAAACAATGAAGCATTGTCTTTCAGAGCTTTCTCTAAGTCGGACCGCAAAGCACATGCTTGCTGGCTCAAAGCATTTTCTATTCGCAACATTTAGAATAACAATGTTTGTTAATGTGGTTCATAGAAACAATGGACATACGATAATGCATAACCAATCAACTGTACCAGCTTTTCTTTGTTCAGAAATGACAAAATCCCTTTCGTTCAGTGTGTAACGGCACTTCTTCAGTTCTTCCTCAGTATTAGCAAGCAATCTGCTTGTTTCCAGCAAGTTTCTCTGCAGGTACAATACAATTCATTTGAACCTGCTGAAAAATGTTTGTTTATAGACATGGCAGCACAAGAACAGCAGAATACCTCTGTGTGAGCAAGTTTGGTACTTAGATCAGAACAATGCCGAACTTGTACATCATACTTCTCTTGCAATTCCTCAAGTTGCTGTCCAGAGAATAGATAGGAGAGGATACAGAAATAAATGGTGTAACAATCAGAGGCTTTTCAACAGCAATTGAAAATTTGATATTACTATAGCAATTGAAAATTTGATATTACTATAGCAATTGAAAAGGAGTTCTTCACAAACCTTTTCATGAGTTTCTATAGTGAGCCCCATTTGTTCAATCTGATCAGCCATTTCCTACAAATAAACAGAATACCAACACAAAACCTGAGACTACCGCAAAAACGACTACAGGAATAGTAAAACTAAACGGATTTTCAACTATGTATCACACACAAATCATCAGACACGAGAAACAAATTCATAGTGCAGTTGGATAAATACCTTCCTTTCTGACTCCTCTTGATAGTATCGTTCCTTGGGGATGTACACACCATTCTTTTCACGGGCAGCATAAACCTCTGCAAAGATGACACATTTGTTGCCAGGTCAATAAAACTAGAAAAAAGCAGGAAATTGATCACAATACTATTTGTAATACTACGCAGTACGAAACCTTCTCACCTGCCTTCAGTCTATCAATTTCACCTTGAAGATCCTTGAGAAGGGTTGATTTCATCATTTTTTGGTTCACCTACACAGAACATTTTGCAGCTCAGCTTACACAGGAACAAAACATTTAAAAGTTTAGAGTATCCGATAATGTATTACAAAGGTTGAACCAAACCTCAGGCTTATTCTTGATATGCTTGGCCCGGTGTGCATAATCCAGTGTACTCAATGTCTCTTCCAAACAGTGAACAGCAGGGGAAACAGTAGCTATAATGCAGGTTTTTGTTCTTCCCCCGAGCGAATCACGAAGCAATCTTGTGAGCTTGCTGTCCCTGAAAATTGCGTCACAGATAAGAGTTAGAAGAAAATGAAATAGTAGCATTATTCAGACTAGCACACACTAAACAACTCAAACCTATATGGAATATGGCCCAGATGCTCCACAAGAGCACTGATGACCCGGCCCAGTGTAAGCAAACTTTTGTTGATTTCGCCAGCTTCCCTGGCACGGCCCTAGTGGGAAAGCGTGTTTTCAGTAATCAATTTCAGAATGAAGTCAACCTGAAAAAGATCATCACATGAACGAGAAAACATACCTCTCTGGCACCAGACCGAGAAATATTTTCTGAGCCAGCCAGATCCACCAAATTCAATTTCCCACATTTGATTAGTTCCTCACCCTCCGGTGTCGGTTCTTTGATGTGGATTGTTATCGAAAAGAGAGAATGCGAACGACTGTAGCAGAAGACAGGCCCTCAATATGACTGCAGAGTGTAGAGTTAAACATGATGTCAATGAAACGCCAGCCAAGAATCAATTTTACCTTGATTGCTTGTTCAGCAAAGTCTCAGCAGTTCTGCGTTTTGAGGAACCTCTTTCCAGAAGAGTGAATATCTCACTTGCACTTGTCACTATTTCTTCTTCCAGACCTCTAACAAGAACTCCACCTTTCCCATCCTCCATAAGTGGCAAGGGCTTCTTTTGCTTCTCTTCAAAAGCTACCTTAGAAATTTCTTCTGGGGCAAGCAAATCAGTGATTTCCTCGTTGTAAAGCTCCAAGAAAGTAACTTTCACACTGTATTCAGCATTCTGCCCTTCAAGTGTATCAAAAATTTGCTTCACGGCTCTAGGAATAACCCCTGCTTCTTGGGGCAGTTCTCCATTAAGCCCACTCTGTTCAGTTCTCAAATTAGAGCGACAAGGCAAAGAATGAAATATCAATAATTCACACCTTACTATATCAACCAAAAGCACAACTGTAAGTTTAAAGATAAAGAGAGAGACCGTTAAAACAAAAGACACTGGAAACGCATTGAGATAACAGTACCTTTGCCCTTTTGCATTCACCCTCCATGGTGTAAGTCTTACCTGTACCTGTTTGACCATATGCAAAAATGGTACAGTTAAAACCTTCCAGAACTTCGTTTACAATCGGTACTACTGCCTGGTCATAGAGATCTCTTTGCTGAGCTGAAGGGCCAAAGACCTGAAAACGACACAATCAACAATCAGGATACCAACTTTTAAGTCCAGGCAGAGCGCCAAACTCAAAGGTGAACACTCAATCAAAGAGGGACTGCTGGCACTACCTATAAAATCAGAAGAGATACATCTAACAACGAATAAAGTGCAATCACATTAATTCAAATCTCTTTGAACCTGAAACCTAATCCCCATTTTAATTTGATACTCTCCACATCGTTGCATCAATTTAAACTGGCAAGTACCAGTATCCAACAAGTAAATGCAAACTCTAATCCTGGGAACAGCCCGTCAACATTCTGTTCAATTATTACTAGCAAATATTACCTTGTCGAAAGTGAAAACTCGGTCGATATGCTTCCCGGCGATGTTCTGCGAAACCGCCACTTCTCTCTGGTAATCATTGCAAGTCACCACTTGTGGCGCATTGCTCCTCAGCTCGTCGTCACTAAACGGCCTAATCAGACGACACTTGAATGGTTACGAGAGTCCAAATCCAAGGAAATCAAACAAATCCGAACGAACAACTTCAACAAAATGGAAAACCCTAACTAACTGGCCAACACTTCTCAGTTCTCACCTGCAACGAAGCAGGACCTGAACATTAACGCCCTTCTCTTTCTCCTGGCGGCCGGACATTCTTCCGTCAGTTTTCCCCAATGAAGAGAGGAAAGGCGGACGAGTTCCTGCTCTGCTGCTGGATCCACCGGCACGGGATGGAGACGGAGCTGGCGACGCAATCTTCGCTACTTGTAGACTCTCCGCAGGAACACTCTCGGTTAGCACTCTCCTCTATCTGCCTCTCCGCCGGAATCCTCACTTCGGTTTGACTTCCTCTCCGACTCCGATCTATCTCCTTTGGTTTCTCTGGGCGGGGAGTGAATACATGTGAGAGGGGGAGAGCGGGCTGGCGATGTGGATTTGAAATTTTCAGAACCCCCGCTCTCTTGTTTTATTTGCCTCTTCTATTTTCTTTTTGGAAGATGATCTGACGTTTGGTATTCGAGCATTGTGTATCCAACGGTTCTTAGTTTGTTTGGTCTCTGAAGCCTTCGGGCCGATTGTCCGTTGTACTTAGGATATAGTATAATGATAAATTTCAAATTTTCGGTCCTGGTTTCAAATCTATCATGGACTGCTATTGACGATCCTATAATGTTGGGCCACTGAAAGCCCGTTCTATTTGGGGTCTAAGTAAGGCGTTCGACTATGGAACCTCCTGCTTAGATAGCGGTAGTAGGGATGTTCAAACGGTGTGGTTAATTTGGATAATATTTAGATAATTTGATTTTGTTAATTTGGATAATAATTTGGTTTGGTTAAATGTTTTAACTTGTTTGATTTAGGTGGTTTGGTTTGGTTTCAAACACTCCTAACCAATCAAACCAAATTAACCAGTTAAATAATTAGTAATATATCTCATAAATATTATATACACATACTTAATACTTTGCATAATCACTCAAGTGTCAAACGTTCCTCCTCTTAGGCTGAAAAAAAGTAAAATTCAATATTGTTCTTATACTGCATATTTGTATTTAGAGAGTCTAGACCACAACATATGGACTCTTATTTTAGATAAAACTCATACAATATGTTGGGAAAAAATCCAAAAGAACCACTGTTTAAAAAAAAAATTCCAAAAATACCACCCAACCCCAAAAAATTCCAAAAATACCACCCTTTTTCAAAAACCGCCACCCCACCCAGCGGTTTGGTCGAAAACCGCTTGTCGGGGGCGCGGTTTTGGACCAAACCGCGGGCCTAGGGGGCGGTTATAAAAAAAAAATTGGACCAAAACCGCTGGGTGGGGTGGCGGTTTGGCCCAAAACCGCCACCCCAACCAGCGGTTTGGTCCAAAAGTTCGGTCGAAATTTCAAACGAACGTAACTTTGCACTCGGGTATCCGATCGTAGTGATTTTTTTTTCATTTCGCATAACTTTTCAAGATCTACAACTTTTACTAGGATGAATTTTTCAAAACAGGAACTATTTGTGGATATACGGGACCTTGAGAATAACTTTACCTTTACTTTTCAGAAATCCATGTACATTTTGAAATTATGATTATATTAAAAGTTGTAGATCTTGAAAAGTTATGCGGAATCAAAAAAAAGTTCATAACATTCGGAGTTTGGAGCACAAAGTTATGGCCGCCCAAAGTTTGACGAAAGGCGAGACCCGGCGGTTTGCGGCTTGCAAGATCTCAAAAAGTTTGCGGCCTCCATTTTTTGAATCCGAATAACTTTTTGAGATCTTGCAAGTCTCAAACAGTCGGGTTCCGTCTTCGTCTCGAAAAAACGTCATTTGCCACCCCGAACGACCTTTTTTTATTTCGTCAAACTTTGGGCGGCCATAACTTTGTGCTCCAAAATCCGAATGTCATGAATTTTTTTTATTCCGCATAACTTTTCAAGATCTACAACTTTTAATATAATCATAATTTCAAAATGTACCTGGATTTCTGAAAAGTAAAGGTAAAGTTATTCTCAAGGTCCCGTATATCCACAAATAGTTCCTGTTTTAAAAATTTCATCCTAGTAAAAGTTGTAGATATTGAAAAGTTATGCGAAATGAAAAAAAATATCGCTACGATCGGATACCCGAGTGCAAAGTTACGTTCGTTTGAAGTTTCGACCGAACTTTTGGACCAAACCGCTGGTTGGGGTGGCGGTTTTGGGCCAAACCGCCACCCCACCCAGCGGTTTTGGTCCAATTTTTTTTTTTTTTTTATAACCGCCCCCTAGGCCCGCGGTTTGGTCCAAAACCGCGCCCCCGACAAGCGGTTTTCGACCAAACCGCTGGGTGGGGTGGCGGTTTTTGAAAAAGGGTGGTATTTTTGGAATTTTTTGGGATTGAGTGGTATTTTTGGAAAATTTTTTTAAACAGTGGTACTTTTGGATTTTTTCCAATATGTTGGCCATTTGGTTCATATCATTGATGATGGATGGTTGCCGACTTCACCTCCTTCTCGTCCTTCACTCCTTTCAAATGTGGTTCTACCCGTTCCCATGCATGGTATCTGATAGACCGTTATTTGCACATGTTTTGTCCATGATTATTGAACCGTTTGAGAATCGATTCTCGTATTTTAAGCTGATTTCACGCTAGGTTGTGCGTTTATGTCATATTTCAGGACTTGGCGCGGAAAGAGAGTCTTCGAGGCGAGTTTTGAGTCGAAAATGGAGAGTTGGCGGCGAGGAGGAGCTGGCAGGAAAAATACCTGGTCATGTCACTATAATACCCGACCGTGTATATGTGGCTGGAGACCGGGTAAAGGCAATTTGGAGGCCCGGACAGGATCCCTAAATACCCGATCGGGTATTTTTACCCTGAATCGGGTATTCTCCATAAGTCTGCTATGCACCGTTTCCACATACCCGGCCGGTCCTCTTAATACCCGACGGGGTATTTGGGTCGGGTTTTGAGAGCTGCAGTTGTTTGTAGGAAATTATGGGTTCTTTGGCATGCATTCAAGTTTTGGAAAAAGAAAGTGAAATCTAGAGAGAGAAAACGACGAACTAAACCTCCAAAGTGACCTAGATAGAGTTTTGACGTCATTGGAGCTCGATTGAAGCTTGGAGAAGTGTCGATTGACAATCAGAAGCCGATTTTCATCCTCCACTAGGGCTGCAAATGAGCCGAGCTACTCGCGAGCGGCCCGACGTTCGACTCAAGAAAAACTCATTCAGAACTCGGCTTGTTAATAAATGAGCCGAACATGAGCTAAACTTTGTTCAACTCGTGAAGCTCGTGAGCTAGCTCGACTCGGTGGCTTGTTGAGCTAAACTCGTGAGCTGGCTCGTTTAGAGCTCATGATATGTCTCAACATATGGCTAGAGAGCCAACTCAATTACCGACTTAACGAATCATTCTATATCTTATGATTTTAATTCATATGATTGTTAAATTATATATCTCGCCATATCTAAAGTTTAACACGCTGAGTATGTGAGCAAATATATCTTATTTCCTATTTTAAAAAGAAATTATGTATCATAGATTGGTTCGATACTCTGAAATAATATGATTTGGAGTAGTTAAAATTTATTAACTAACTGATATATGATACAAACAAAGTATAATATGAGATTAGCTAACAAAATAAATCATATGTATCATGATATACAAAATGAAGTACCAAATAAAAGTCAAGATTTAGTTAAACAAGCTAGCTCGAGGTCGACTCGACTCGGCTCGTTTATTAACGAGCCGAGCTCAAGATGGTGTAAAACTCGACTCGGCTCATTTGCAGCCCTCCACATAATGATTTTTGCATCTGAAGCTGATTTCTCTTCTCTCTATTGAGTAAACACTCTCTCTCTCACATGGGTATGAAGAACCCTAGATTTGTATGTTAGGTTTGTTGTATAAACCCAAGTACATTATCTTTTGACATTGATTATACTCAATTGAGGCATGATTTTCTGAATTGCATGAATCCTGATCAAATTCCTGTAGTTTCTGCTTTGACCTAGCAAGAGAATATATGCCTAGGTTGACAGAACACCCTTAATTGAAGGTGGGGAATTGACTACTTTAGTTGATGAGTCAATTCTCACCTTTGTACGGGATTTACTTCAGTAGAGGAGGTTTTGCACGTTAGGCCCTCAGTTTGTTTACTCCGGTGGAGGTTAGTCGCCCGCCAGGTATTCAGAGTGAGAGGGTCTGGAGACCTTTAGTCGAGACTTCAGACTGAATAAGAACCTTCCGCAGTATAACTGTCATTAAATCTGAAATTGGTGAATTGTAACCAAACTTAACTGCAATCTAGGCGGAACCATATCTGGGTGACCTCTCTCAAACTTGAACTACAACCTTTACTGCTTTGTGGTTTGTTTAGATTAGATATAACCTCGCTACCGTTTAATAGCTAGATTAAGAGAATTCACGGAGTAGTCATCACATCTAGGACTCGAGTTGACAAATAAAGCTAAACCCGCTATACTACGCATTATTAGGTGGGTACACTTGACGACTTTCTAGTGTGCCGGTACAAGAAAGTCAAGTTTTTGGGGTCGTTGCCGGGGACGAGATGTTACACCCCGCTCTTTACAAAAGTCAAAATGACTCTTATACCCTCGGTAAAATTTATCAAATTCCATCGTTACATTTAGGAGGACTCAAATCGTGAACTAACGGTTCAAACGGTGGCGAATTTCGATATAAAACGAGAAGGTTACGAATGTTTTTTTTGTGACTAGTTGCTATGGGTTGGTTTGGGCCGAGAAGGAAGAAGAGTGGGCCTGGGTTGTGAATGGTCAGATTGTGAAATAAAAGAAATGGGCTTTGGCCCGAAAAGGGAAGAAGATGAGAAGAGAGGAAAGAGAGAGCTGGGCTGGGCTGGCCCGAGTGTGAAGGAGAAGAGAAGAGGGCCGAATGGGCTGGCCCAGGGATGGGGAAAAAAAAGAGAGGGCATGGCCCACTCGTGGCCTGCTGAAGGAGAAGGAGGCAGACGAGTGAATGAAGAGGAGCAGGTTCCTCTGGGCGCTGTCACGACCCGAAATGTCGTGACCGTGTTGATCGTCTGAAGAACGCTGCCATCTGGTTGTCTTGCCATGAGAAGGGTAAAGGGGGCGACATTAGCGATAAGGCGTTGTCTGCCTGTGCATCGCATCTAGCCGAGTCAGGATTTGGCTATGAAGGGGATCGTTGCAAGAGAAGGCACAACTGGTCGGAGGCTATTGCCGTCTCCCTGATGAGCCCAAGGCAGGGCGAAACCAGTTGACATGCGTATGCAGAGAGGCTGGTCTTGAGGAATGAGTGCACCTCAAGACGCTGCACGGACTTCGGAAGTCTATGTCCGTGACAGCGCCGACGGGGGAAACAGAACCGGCAGGGAAGCTGGAGTTTCGGCGGATGAAGGTTTGATTGGGATGGTTCCCTCAACAAATAACGTGTGAAAAAGGGCTCGCTCGGGGAAAGAAAAGGAAAGAGAGAAATCGAAAGAAAGAAGAAGAAATCTTCCTCTGTTTCTCGATCGACAAACATAGCTGGAT